CTGTTTATAGGGGCAGTGATGGTTCAGTGGTAGAATTCTCTCCTTCCATGCAGGAGACCTGGGTTCAATTCCCAGCCAACGAATTGACTCAACAGCAATGGGTTTGGTTTGGGTTTTTCGGTGCCTCAAGCACAGCCATCACCCATCTGTCAGTGGAGGCTTACTTGTTTTGATGCAGAACAAGTTTCAGTGGAGCTTCCGGACTAAGACAGACTAGGAGGAAAGGCCTGGCAATCTACTTTGGAAAATCAGCCAATGAAAACCCTATGGATCACAATGGTCCAATCGGCAACCAATCATTAGAAAGGTGCAGGACTGGACAGCATTTCACTCTGTTGTGCATGTGGTCATCACGAGTTAGAGACTGACTCAATGGCAGCTAACAACAACAATCTCAAGCAACACATAGCATAAGGTTATGGCGAACATCAGCCAACTTTTCCTCAATAGAGGCAGAATGGAGTCCTGGGATCAAACCTTGGCTCTGCATGGAGTAACTGTATGACTCCGGACAAGTTAACTTTTCTGGGCATCAGTTTCCTCATCCTTAACACAGAGAAAACAGTACCTTTTCCAAAGTGGTGTTGTGAGAATTAAATAAGCGAATGTAAGAATCTGATGGTTGATATGCACTCTATAAATAGTAGGTATTGTTACTCTGTGCCTCTTAGGTACAAAGCCCTGTGTAGAAGCTATGAGAAAAGAACAAACGAAATATACAGCTACACTTATGTTATATATTCTATACGGAGTGGCTCTGCCTGGGAAGTAGGAGGGTAGGGACATTTTTCTTTTTCCCTTATATCCTTTATAACTGACACAGAAACTGCTAACTGTCCACTCAAGTCCATTTTTCCTTTCTTCCATAGTAGCTGGCACCTGATTGCCTGGCTACTCTGCATTACCCAACTTCCTTTACAGCTACTGCAGCAGCACCTGACTAAATTTTCTCCAATGTGTGTCACTTCCAAGCTTGGCCCATGAAGCCTCCATATATTCTCCTCCCTGCTCTTTCTCCCTTCCCGGGGCTGGAGTGGTGATGATGACAATCATGGATGTGATGATCTGGGAAGCTGTGGATTGAGGACAGCAGAGCTGCCATCAGCTGGGAGCCTGAATGTCTGTGTAGAGCAGGGTTCCCACAGCAAACTTTTCTCTGAAGTATCCCCTCAGGACTGTTATGAAAGATGCGTCTATTGTTTGAACCACTATGCTTTGAGTCTATTTGTTAGAGCAGTTCTGCCTACCTAATTAATACTATTTGAATTTTTAAATATAGATGCATTACTTTTGTTATTTAAAAACTATTTCAATGGATTTGCAAAAATAAAAAGACACAAACTAAGAGAATATCTTAACCCCACTCCACATTTTCCACACCTTCCATTCTTCAATTCATGCTGTATACTAGCACGAGTTATCCTCCTCAAAGCCAAATCACTATGTTAATCTCCCCTTGTAAACTTTCTATGGCTAAAAGATATATACATTTATTCACTTAGCCAATATTAATCAAACACCTGCAATGTGCCAAGCATCCTATTAGTAGTGGGGATACTACAGAAAGACCAACATGGCCCCTCCCTCTAGGGGATATAATCTGGATGAGGATTTAAACAAGAGAACAGATGATTATAATACACTGAGATAAGTAAGTGCTATGATGGGAGAAGCTTAAGCTGTCTGGCTGCATCCAGGGGGTCAGACCCACCCCTCAGTCTAGGCTTCTCAGCATAGCATGTAAAGCCTCCAGGATCTACTCCAAGCCCACCTTCCCAGTTTGTTCTCCCATTATATCCTCCTCCTCCCACCTCAAACTAAAAAACCCACTTCCATTGAGTCGAGTCCACCTCATAGGGACCCTACAGGACAGAGCAGAACTGTCCCATAGGGTTTCCAAGGCTGTAAATCTTTACGGAAACAGACGACCACATCTTTCTCCCATGGAGCAGCTGGTGGGTTCAGACCCCCGACCTTTTAGTTAACAGCCAAATGCTTTAACCACTGCGACACCAGGGCTCCTCTCCCACCTCCTGTTACACGGAACTTACGTACCATGTCTGACTGAGTCATGTACTCTCATTCATCTGCACTTTATGCTTTTCCCCAGAGCCTGGAATGTTCTTCCACCCTTTCTTTCAAAATTCTAATTATCCTCAAGGCCCAGCTCAAATGTCACCTCTTCAGCCAAAACATCTCTAGATCTCAAGTAAAAATGAATCATCCTCTTCCCCGCTTCCCACCAGAACTTGGTTTCAGCATCAGGTATTTCATTCTGTCTTGTAGCTAGCCATTTTATTATCTGTCCACCCTTCCCCTTGCCCACTCAGTTAAGATGCTGAACGCACTCTAATGTATGTTGTGGGCACTCAAGAAATACTGTACTGAATGAATGGACAAGGGAGGTCAGACAGGCAACAGAAGTTAAAACCTGCTCTATGAAGCTGAGTGGGTTCTGGCATGACTGTGGTGGGTAGACTTAGCTAGGAAAGCTTCACAGAGGAAGTGAATTGTAGGGAAAAGAAGGAAATACAGAGCCAAGAAGAGAAAAGCAGGAGTGCCCATTCCAAGACCATGAGAAAGCGAAAAGCCAGAAGGTTCAAATATATCCTATGTAAGGGACAGAAAGAGGTAACCTAGAATGGAGTTTTTGAGCCAGAGAGAAGACCAGAGGGAGACCATGAGGGGCAGAACTTCCTCGGAAGAAAAACATAAGGAACTGATGAGCAAAGCTGAGACTCCCAAAAAATGATCCTATAGGACAATGACAAACTTTACAAAAAGGCTGGAGGAAAAAGCCAACCAGGACGATAACAGAAATTATCTGTGTGGGGATCTGTCAGGGCCTGGGCTAGGACAGTAGCTGCAGAAACAAGGAGAGAAGCTTGAGTCTGTGCACTAGGGAAACCTACAGAACTGAGGCACTATGTGACTGTGAAGGACAAAGAGAATGGTGACACCAAGATTATACCCAGGTTGCAATACAGGAGGAAAGACGATATTGTTTATCAACATATTAAGTTCCAGGAATCAGTGCAGCGCTAGAATGGTGTGAAACGGGAGTCTTTTCCCAGAGGTCAGGCTGCAGCACACCAAGTGAGCTTCTGTGGGGCAGTTACTGTGTGGAACATCAAGTTCAGAGAACTGTTAGGGGAAAAGGCATTGGCTGGTGACCTCACAGAAATTCTCCGCATGCGGTTAACTTGAGACACCCAGCTAGGGCGGGATACCCTGTGTACAACCAAGACTTCCCAAGATGTGCTTTCCCCATTTCTGTTTTGTTTTTGCCAGTCTCTCTTTGCCCCCTCTCCCTTTTACTTCCTTCCCACAGTTACTGAGGGGCATTCTTTTCAAGCTTCTGCCTCCCCCAACCCTCTTAGCTGATGCACAGGTTGTGAACTGCACAGCTCTAGGGGGAGTCATTCACATAAGCTATGGAATGAATGGCAGCTCCTAGAGTTGTGCAGTGCACAATCTGTACAACCACAGGCCATGGCCCTACTTGACCTAGACACGGAAACCAAATGAATGGGTGTGGAAGATCCCCAGCAATGTGCAACAAACTGCAAACATACAAAGGTCCTGGAGTGAAAGGGAAAGACTAAAAGCACTAGGATCAGAGACCACAGAGGAGATGTTACAAAACTAAGTGAGAGATCTGGAAGATTTCTGCACACAGGTTGCAGCTGAAGCATTGAGGGTGGATAAGCTCTCTTAGGGAGTCAGTTTGAGAAATCCCCTCAGAGGTGAAGGAAGAAAACACAGCAGCAGCTAGACAGGCAGGAGTCACAGGGATTGGCGGACACGTAGGCCCTGGTGCCAACAGGAAGGCAGTAGCTGTGGGAGGCCTCCACTGGGACCCTCTGGCCATAAGTGCAGAGCAGTCATTTACCCTACGTGCAGCTGGGGCCTGGCTGGGGAGGCCAACCATGCTGCATGCAATCTGTGAAAGATTCAGATCTGTTTTCCCTAGAGGCTTGGAAGAGAACCTGTAGTCAGTTCAGAGGATTCATTGACCCAAAAGGATCCGGGAATATCCAAGCACTTAAGGATCAGCCCTCATAGTGGGCACTTAATGAATACATGTGTTTCTGTGGCAGGTTAAGATATCCATGGTATCTACTCTGAAGAGGTTTCTATGTGTACGGAGTGTAAAATGGGAGGAAAAAACCCAAAAGATTCCTTGGGTTGGAGGCAGGGCGAGGGCCAAATTATCAAGGGGCACCAAGGGTTTCCGCGAAGGTGGAGGACAAGGGACAGTAAGGAAGGGAAAGTTAACAGGTAAAAAAAAAAGTTGGAGAAGGCTCTTAGGTCTTTGTGTATAAATATGGTGCTTCAAGAAAAGCTAAGAAGAAATGACTCAAGCAGATCTAGCCATAACTAAAATGTCGGAAGGACTCACACCCCGATTTTTATTGTAACGCTCTGGGGCTCAGTAACCTTTGCAGAAGGAAGTTGGTGGATTCTCTTGATTCCCTGGAAAGCCACCTCGGCATGGGTCTCGGTGAAGAGCGAGTCGGCCCGTGGCGGCTATGGCGGGGCATATCAAAGACTCATATTTCTGCTCTCCAGCTGCGGACGCGAGCCGGGGACCGCAGGCACCTTCCGGGCCAGGAGTTCAAGGTGAGCCGGGCTCCCAGCGGCCAACAGGTAGAGAGGGCTGATGGGGAAGCCAGCCACCGGCCACTCCCCCCCGGCACATGTGGGGGCGAGGCTCGGCCTGGAGGCGCAGCGACTTGCCCTACGCGCGCGGGGCCGAGCGGATTCGCGCTCGGTTCCGGGCAGCCCCG